AGCTCTTCCAAGGGTCTGGGCTGTCCTTCATATCACCCTATGGGACATTACTTTTGACTCATCCTGCATATAAGGGGGTTTTCAAAAGTAATGTCACTGAATTTATTTCAAGTTAACTGCTACAGATGTAGGCCCAAACCGTAGACAAGTGTTAGGCCATGTTACCCATGCATATCCTATTTTTCTACTTAGCCTCCATCACATTCCATGCATTGTCTCGGGTGTTTAAAAAGGGCATCAAAGCCTGCATGGTTTAATCTCTGGTGTATGATGCCATACAGAAGATTGGATGGGAAACAATTCCCCATTTGTTGCACAGGCCTGACCAAACACCTTGTGACTTCCACCTCCTCCCAGTTGTATGAAGAAACCCCTTTGTGATGTGAATTTTGCTATTGATGAGGCTGTGGAAATGTGCTGTTCAGGGGTGGCTGAAGGTACGATCACAAGAGTTTTACCATACAAGCTTCAATGCCCTTGTTAAACACTTAAGAAAATGCATGGAACATGATGGAAGCTATGTAGAAAATAGGACATGCTTGGGTAACATGGCCTAACACTTGTACTTAGATTGTACCTTACACCTTCATCAGTTAACCCGAAATAAATTCAGCGAACTTGCTTTTGAAAGCTCTCTTGCATTTTAAGGAAAAACTTTAAATTCTGTCCCTTCTGAAGCTGGTAAACGTTAACAGTCAATGGTATTTGGCGAAATGGCAAACGGTATTTTATATTTATACCTCATGTTGGCAAAGCAACTCTGCATCTCTTCCCTTTTTCTACATGAAGCATACAGTGCATTCGCTAAATTTTTACATTCCTGCAGAATGGAAGCTTGAATGAGATGCAGAAGTAAAGCCACTGGGTGAATTGCATGAAACTGACTTTAGCCTAATGAAGCTTTAAACCTCCTTTACCACCGCTGAAGGAGGTTTAAACCTCACTCACTTTTGCTTGCTTGGTGTCATGTACTTCATTTGCATTCAGAATTATTTATCATTCTTAGCATATTTTATATTAACATTCTGTTTTCTTTAGTTATCTTGAGTGAAAAACGATTTGTGAAATTGGAACACTCTTAATCTCTAAATCAAATCTGTCCAACACATGGTGAAAATAGAACGGAGGACAGAAGCATAGCTCTATGAGAAGTGATGATTTAGATCATGACCTTGGAAGCAGCAAATTTGCGAATAACACAAATATGGTTCCTCAATCAGAAAGGAGGAGGTCTGACAAGAGCCAAGGGGGATTTAGAAGTTTTGGACAAGTAGGGTAGATTCTTGTACTCTCTTTTAGCTGCTAACGGGCTTTTAATCACTCCTTTTAGCTAAATGTGATTCTTATAAAAACAAGCTTTTACACTAAAAGCCCTTTTATACCATGATGATTTTAAAGGTGGTCTTGGAGCTCAGTTAAAACAGTTTTTTGGCATTGTCAAGATGGAGACGCTGCGACAACTGCGTTATCTTTGCATTTTCTGTCATATGAGAGCTGGCGATCATCATAGCATGGCTCGAAGTCTGGCAGACCGTAGTGATCCATTGCGTACCATTCAAATGTCGATTTCAATTCAAGAAGGAGGCAGTTGTGGAAATTACCCAGCTCCTGACTCCACGCCTTAGCGCTTCTTCGCAACAAACTCATTTCATGAGGTGCTGGGGATTAAATTCGCCTCTTGAAATCTGCTGTGAATGCATGCATTCATCAAGTTGGAAGAGCCCTAGCAAATTTGAGACTTCAATGGGTGACATTCCCATGCCCCGTAGAACATGATCGGCTTAAAATGGACTTATGTAAGCTTGCTGGATTCACAGGGGTACTTGAATCTTGCATCAACGTCCATTTTAGCACCACATTTCATTATTTCCCAAAAGATGTGAATTTGGGACGCTTTTCTCTTTGACTCTGACGGAAACTGGGCTGCAAGCCTCTCCCATGCTTTGTTTTGTTCTTCAGAGAATTGCTCACTTTATCACCCTTCTTGCATTTGATAATGCTTTTATCGGTCTTCACTAGGGATATTAGGCAATCTTACTCCTCACTACAGAAATGTTCACCCCTTTCACGCCTCTGTAGGTGGACTTGCTATCAGCACTCGTACTTGCCAAGTTTGCAACCAGGTTTGTCAAATGCTTCAGTGAGATTTATAAAAGACCTTTTAGCTAACACATGTTTAAGAGAAGGAGAAAGAACTACTCTTAAACATCCTTTTAACTGAAGGCCTTTTAATATCTAAAAGCTCCTTTACCTAAACGTACCCCACAGTTGAACTCGGTTATAACGACCTCGGTTATAGCGTAATCTCTGTTATCGACTGAAAGCGCCAGGTCTTGGCGTAGAGCCCATAAGGCACGTTGCATTTTACCTCGGTTATAGCAAACTCGAATATAACGAGAACCTCGGTTATAACGAAGTCCATTGAAGGTCCCAGTGAGAAATTGACAGCGTTAATGTCCCTAATCCGTCATTCTTAACTGGAATTCCCACAATAGGAAAAATGAACGTTGGCGAGCCATAACGTTATCTTTTCTGGAATCGGCATTCCTTGAGAGTCAGAGCGTGTGACAGGACGGTGAGGGAGGGATTATCCCTAGTAACTAACGATCATCTTATCTTCAGTCGCCATTACATTTCTCGTTGACAACATGGCCAGTGAAGAGCGAAAGAGGCAAGCCTTCACGATGGAAAGGAAAGTGTGCATGATTAATTTATTAGAAAGTGCTCGAAGTAAAGTCGAAGTCCCCTTCGAAAAACATGGACATCTGTTCATCTGTTTCCTCAATTTTGGAAAATCGTGACTGCTTCATCCGTGCTTACGAGAACATGTCACAAAACAAGAAACTTCGTAGATCTGTCGAGATGACGTCGACGAGGCCTTGCTCTAAAGTATAAAGTATTTCAAGGTCCAAAGAAGTGCGAATATTACGATTAGTGGGTCAATCCTGAAACTGAAGCTAGTGTGGCATTACCGATGTGCACTAGAGTTGTAATGTTATATAGCATCTATTTTGAAAACAGGAAAAGGGAATGTCAATACAGGCAACCTCGGTTATAACGACGATTTTTCCCTGGTCCCTTCGATGACGTTATAACAGAGTTCTACTGTACAAGAATCCACCTGTAGATTTTAACCTTTTGCTGCTTAATTAATTCAAAGGGTATGAAGAGCTCTTTGTCAAAATGTGGCAACAAAAGGGTTTTTGAAAAAGAGGCTCGTGAAGTTTTATAAGAGGAAATGTGAGATTCTCCTCATTGGTTATAGTACCGATAGGTCTCTGAATGCCTTTGGTGAGGATAAGCTGGGAGAGATGAATGGGGAGAGAGAATTACAGATCATGATCAATTAGAAACTGTAGTTACCTGTATATGAACACCCACAGGTGACAGTGGCTAAATGTCACAGGATTTTAGGCTTCATGCAGCATTCCAGTTGCCAATAAGAACTTGTGCACTATTCTCTCATTTTTTTATGACACTTGTTAGATTCCATTTAGGTTATGGTGTTCAATTTCAGAGCCACAAATAAAAGTAATGATCTTGAAGGGTTCAGTCAACTTGGACCCAAAGTATGCTTTCAGCCATAGCGTTCAGACCAGTTGAGATGGCAATTTCATATTTTAACTATGTTGCTTATTGCATGTCCAGTGCTCTCTCATGGTGTCAATCCCTGATGAAGTGCTGCAAAATTAATATTTCAAGTTTCTTTCCTGCTATTTTTCTCCTAATAGCGCTGTAAGGAGATGATATCCTGTTACTTTTGAACATATCGGGAAGAAGAATAGCCACTCTTAGCTACTCCTCTCTTTTCATATATCCTGCCTTTTTTACTTTACAACATTCTTTTTTTCCTTCAGAAATTGGAGGAAATCAAGCTAAGAGTGTTTATTAAATAAAAATAACTTCATAGAGATATGCGACGTTGCAACTGGTGCTCATCTCATGCATATGGTGTAATGAAAGCGTTTGGGAGAATGAAGAAGTCTTCACTATCGTAGGCTTACAGTAAAACTAAATATATCTCCAGCACATTTGCCTGAGTTTAATGGCAAATCTTTTTTTTTCCGAGAACAGCGTCCTTGATGAAATGGTAGAGGGCAAAAGTGAACTGGGACAGAAAAGTATGAGAGAGCAGAATCTAGGACTTGAGGAAATGTAAGTCTCTCAAGAAGCCAGAGTGGCTTTGGCATTTTGGAATCATGTAAGATCTGACTCGTATCTATTTCTGGACGGGATACTCCTTGATCCAAGAAAATCTCGTGTCTCAGGGAAACAATTGAGATTCAACAGTGTCATGGCAATCCCTTCAGATTCATTCTCTTATAGAGAGGGACCTCATGATTTTATGCAGAATCAACATGCTCAGTAGCAGCAAAGGAGGAGGATTTTCAACGGTTCGATTCCTTATTGCTTTTCTCTTGCACCTGGTACTCGCTCCTCAGATTTGTGCAGCCGCGTTCCTCCCAATGGACATTAAATCTAAGGCACCCAGGTTCTCCTGCATCCATTTGGTGGCATACAAAATATCTCAGCCCGAAAGTTCAGTTTCAGGAATGCTCTACAGCTACACCGCCTCGCCGCTTCAATATTTACACATTCCGCAAAATTGCACTGAAGCATACACGACTTTCTATGACTGTAGTCCGACGTATTGTTGTCGATGGAAGGAAGGCTCAAGAAGTGAAGGGGAATTATCATTGTGTGTGTGGCGATGCGCCGAACATATGTGCTGCATCCCAAATCCTTTGTTGGTCCCTGGTTTTTGCTGTGACAATACGACTATCTCAATGGAAGAGAAATTCAAGAACCCCGGGCTGGTGGAAATTGGACACGGTTCAGCCTGCACCCTCAGCACAGCTCAGCTCTTCCTCGTCTTCTATTCCATCTGCCTCATTCTCCTCATCACACTTTATGAAGCTATCCCTCACGACGACAACGTGAATCCAAGGGAGACTGTAAGACACCGACTCGTTTCTCCACGACTCACAGGGACTGAAACATTTTGAGTAGATTGAAACTTTTATTTTATACCTTTCACATGACTTTTTAAAATTGATATAATGAAGCGAATAGACTGTCAGAGATCAGAAGTAATGGCCGTCTACTCTTTCAAGTGGAAGTCTCAGAGATGTCAGTGCTCTTGGTGCGTGAGCTATCACTCCTGTTGGTAGTTCTCTTCTTTCCCCCTGGACCAACTTCAGAGACTTCACTATTGTCAAGTGTTGAGGTGTAAGCCTCACTGACGTCGTGATCGGGACCTTTGGACTCGGCTGTGGACTTTGAATCAAAGTGCGGATGACCTCGACCCGTCCCAAATTTTGTTGTCCCCATAGACATCTTCTCTATGCTGTCGTGTCGAGAGAACCAATCACCAGCTTTTTTCTTCAGGAATTTGATCGTTTTCTTCTTGCAAATGAAGATAAGGAAGATGAAGACTCCTTGCAGAATGTTGATGATATCTGTGAGGATAAAAGCCTCTTTTGGCTCTTCGAGAAGGAAGCTGATCACCTCCATCAGCCAACTCACTCCCATCACCACAAACAGCTTTATGTACACCAGAAACCTGCATAGAGGAAGTACTCCTGTACCTCAGCATTCCGGCCAGAATATTTTTTTAAATATGCCCTTTGAGCAGTGCAGAATGAAAGGTGCAACTCACTTCTGTTTCTGATCTTGGCTGCGGGTCAGATGAGCAGTGTCTTTGGCATGCTGAATCAAATAACGACTCGTAAGGGCGAAGAAAATGGCATTTGCAACCAGGAGCAAGGCAATTGGCCCATAAAAGTATAAGATGGTCCCAGCATGATCTAGACATTGAATGAACGGACATCGAATTGGTAGCCTTCTGCCTTCGGTCATATTCTTATGCATTAATGCAATGCTACTTTGGTTCAAATAAAAGAAAATAACCCTTTACCATGGAGATCTTGTACGACAAGAAATCAAGTTTTGCCAACTTTGGAACACTTTTCTTTGAGTATGTAGCAATAAGTGTGACCCGGGCACGTCATGTATGACTCAGAAGGGGTTACGTACCATAGAGCCAACATCGTTTGGCAGGGTCGAATCCTGGCTTGATGATATGAGGCGGAATGTTGGGGGCGAATTCCACGACACAGGCTATTAAGACAATGCATGCCGGAACACCAAAAGCATATAGGCTATAGCGAATCAACTTCTTCCTCTCGTGCCCTCGACCGCGTGAGTGTGTTTTCAGGTCACTGCATTCAACATGAAAGAAAAAGAGAGATGGAGTGGAGGGAAATTTAGTGGGCAGGCAGCTGGCAATTATGGCTGAAGTCAAAATAAATATGATCATCTTGTCGATGATGCACGAGCTGGAATTCAAGAAAAAAAATTATTGTCGCACCTGAGATTCCACCAGATGTCGAAACTCATGACGTTGAGCCAGAAGAATGCAGAGAGGTAGAAGAAGAAGGTCACCAAGGCTGCAACAGGGGGAAAAAATAGAGCCTGACTCGACTTTCTAAAACTCTTTCTTTACGGTATCAATATGCATGCGTACCGGCAGCGAGGCAGACGGAATTGGAGATGCCGTTGTCGGAGCCGATTTGGGCGACGGAGAGGGCAATGCTGGCCACCAGGAGGCAGCCCACGTAGCATAGAAGTGTCTTCCCGTGGAGGCTTTTCCGTTCGGGTAAAATCAGATAGAGTAGGAAAGTTAAGAGGAGGAACGTGGCCGACAGAACGAGGAGCACGGAATAAATTATGTAAATGACTTCCCTCGCCTTATCCTTTACATTAGAGCCTTCAGGGAAGCAGACAATGGCTATGGGGTCTAATGTCCCGCTGCTTGCCCCTATATCATCGACGCAATATCTGGGGACATCGACAACCATCTTGTATTTCTCGACCATCAATCCTCCACTCTCGGTCAAATAGAATTTATCTTTTGGATTATTGGTCGGCCGTAATGGAATTCCCCTCCCCGTCATTCCGGGACATAAGGGGAAATTCGTGATCACGTGGACTTCTTCTGCAGGAGGATGAGAATGGAAAATTTTCTTGGAATCCCAGAGCCTTTCAGCTGGACTGCATCGAGGGGGTCCCACTCCGGACTCGTGCAAGTAATCCGTCTGGACACAGCATTTTTGAACACACACTTTCCCCTTGCAGTCCGCTAGGATCTTCTTCTCCTTAGGGTGACAGATGCGAGCTAGGTCGATCCAAGATTCATTATCAATACGACCGTGATCGAGGCAGAACTCTTCAGGAGAATATGTGGAATTTAAGGCTTGGATGTAGAGGTGCCCCGTGTTACGAAGCACATGATATGTCTCCCGAGGATCTTTCTTTGGAGTCAGCATATATTTGGCACAAGGAATAGAAGACAGGTCGTCGATATTGAGTTGATAATTATCTGAAGACAGATTTCGAACTTCCCTTGTCTCTGGGTGTAAGACCGGGAGCCACCAGGAGAAGGGACGGGGGACGCATTCTTGCTGGCGCAGGTCATAGCCCTCTTCCAAAGGACAGCATTTTCGGACGAGGATTTTTGACCCTCCTTGCTCAAGGTCAGGAGGATCAGTTCCAAACCCGGAGGAGGGGCAGAAGAGGAAAGCGTTGACGAAGGTTCCGTCCTCCTCGAGGAGTTCATCACGGCAACGAGGAGTAATGGCAAGGAGGCTAGGGTCAGGTTGGTCTAGGACTAGTTTGACCTCTGTTTCGCAGTCTGGCAAGAAAGGAGGTCCAATCGTCCTATTGGTGGCACGTATGTGGCACTCGGTCACGTTCGTCTCTCGATCGTACACTAAATACTGGTCCTGGCCCGGGCAACATTCCGGTTCGTCCCTCGCCCATCCACCCGGTAATAACAAGAGAGAGAGGACACAGATCACATAGTGCGCGAAGGTCGCCATCATTCACATAGTCTAGTCGATTTCACGCTTCCCCTCGGGGGTTTTTCCCATCCGCTTCCCTATCGGGACTCCAATGGCAGAGACGGGATTTCCCCGAATACACAATCACTCATCCGTTCGTCGTCCTTGCATCTGTCCGCCGTGGAAGGAGAACGGAAAACGGAGCCGCATGTAGACGCGAGGGAAGAACTGACCAGTAAGGAGGGAGAGGACTTGGCTTCGGAGAACATGTATAGCCAGGAGACAGTGCACACACTGGGATTCTTATCCTCAGGGGAAGAAAAAACCACTTGTCAGAGGCGGATCTTAAGGAAGGGAACGGGTCTTGCTCTCTCCTCCTTCCGCATCTAAGCTACTCCAAGGCTCTGTGCGACTGCAAGCGATAGTTTATTTTCCTCCTCGTGGTCTCGGCCTATAGTGCATTTGGCCCTGTAGATGCACGGATACACGGAGAGACGAGAATAGATCACATCGGTTATACCGATCTCGGCTAGCTTACACACACTGGGTTTTCCGTCTTTTCCTTTTCCCTCTGCACGATTGGGCCTTGGAGTGAAATTGCGTCCTGTCATTAACTGCATTAATTAATGACGATGACTCAATTTATTATTGCTCCTCCGTTGTTGCGCACCACTCGCCCTTCCTTCCGAGAAACGAAAGCATCCAAGGCTACAACTGAACTGATCGTTACCTGGCGATAATAAGTGCCTATGTCTTTTATGTAACTATGGAAGTTTTTATTCTTTTCAGCTTGGCTCAAACGGGAGGACATAATGTTACATTTTCCCCTATTCCCTGAATTTTTTTTGGTTGTTAAAATACAGTATTGTATAAGGCATGAAATTATAGGGTGGTATGAGCTCGAGATGTATCTGCAAGGTTTTGGAAGTTTCCCCATCCCGTGAAGGACGTGGTATCAAATTGCAATCCTCGTGTTCATGTTTATTTTGTCTGGTTCGGTTCCGATTATTATTTTTTCCCCATATATTCATAGCATGGCAGACAGTTTCGCCCAAGAGTGAAGGCATGAGTTCTTTATGAAATATTTCGAGGCAATTATTTTGATAACGTCGGAATACAGAATAGCCTGCTTGACTTATTAGCACTGAACGGTGAACCCGATTTAGTGCTGTACTGAACTGTATATTGTTTGAAGTCTGTGTGATTGATGTAGGGCTTAATTAGATCTGCATTCTCTCTTCCAGGTGAAAGATGAAACCGGAGAGGGGAGAATGCTGGATCCTGATCTCAAAGTCCATTCCATGGAACGCCTCCTTTGACATTCCTACTATTTAGAGAAATCATCGACTTCATCACTACTTAATATACTGTTGCATTTATTGCTTGTATTCGTGTCTTGTTTGTTCCTGATTAAAGAAGCAATGCTAGCACACTTTACTTAAACGCTTCAATTCCTTCGGTCTTGAAAGGAAGCTTGTCATTTCACTTAATATATTAGGGCATTGTATTTTTTGCTTGCAAGAGATCTTGTGGCTTCGTAAAATTAAGTAAGTAATGGTGGGGCATGAAATCTTGCCACGCTCGGTCTTCCGCAGAAGGCTGGAATTGCATTCCGTCAGAGATGAGCAGGGACGGAGAGGCACTCGGAAGGCACTCTCGAAGTTCAGCATCCATGAAACTTCTCGTGCCACATCACGCTTCTCAGCACACGCCAAATTTCAACCCCCTTTATATTAAAAAATATATATATATTATATTATTTATTTATTGCCATATTCGGGTTCAGCTCAATGTGTTTGCCAAACATCAACACCTGTTTGTGCAAAACTGTAAAAATCTTATTTGAGATTACACCTCTAAATGCTAGGCAATAAGACATCGGGATGTAGGAAATCGTCTGCCAAGTCATAAGGCATTTTAATAGCATAATGTGCCATGCCATATCTGACGGCGGATGTTGGTAGTTTGATGTGCAGAATTCTCACATGCTGCATCTGCTAAGAAGACTGATGCACTGCCAGCTAATGACATAATACGCTATTTGATATAAGAAACCATGAAATAACGGTCGACACATCACGGTTAAGGACCGTCATTTTAAGTCTACGTCCATTTAAATGCAGACGGCTGCCAACCGTTTTCCAAGCGGATGGATTGATAAAGATTCTGCAAGAGCGCAGTCGCCCTGGGGACGTACATCGAATCCTCATTTCTTGGAAGCCCATTGACAATTTTGCTCTTTTTTGTAGTCTGTGTTCTGGATAATGAGTACTTTTTAGTCATGTCAGTTTTAAGAGAGTGTTTGAGATGCCCCCACCAGGGACACCCCCGGGGGAGAGAGGCGAACTCACCATGCGCCAGGATTCAAAATCGATGTAATAGTTGTTCTACAGGGTGGCCATAAAGTCTGGAAACATATTAAAGATATATTAAGATAATTTTGGAAATGCCAATTTAATTAATCGGGTTCATCAACACTTCAAACGTCGCCTTCAAATCTGTATTGATTCAACGGGAGAACATTTTGAACATTTTTAAAAAATTTTATTTGTACATTATCTTAATATATCCTTAATACGATCCTATGTTTCCAAACTTTATGGTCATCCTGTAGATGAGCCTACTCGTTTTTTATTCCAAGAAATATTGCAGTACTCTCAGCGTTACAGATGAACATGAACTCCTGAAGATGAAGCCTTGATGGAGAGCACCTTAGGCACTATGAACAAATCACAAAAAGTAAGATGTGAATATTTCAGAAGAGGACAAACAGTCTTTTACCGTTTCCAGTACTCGAATGGGGGATCGACGAAAATAGTTACCAAAATGGCAACCCGTGAGGGGGCATACGCTAAGTAAGGGTGGAGCGATGGAAAGAGAGATTTTCTCGGTATTATATGGATTATAAAGGTGGATTTTTGAACAGAGCACTATCCGATAATGCAGCTTTATTTACTGGACTTATAATGCATTTTCTCCGAAATAAAGCTGCATTATCGGATAACGCTCTGTTCAAAAATCCACCCTTAGACTTAGGACGTAACGGCATATTAATGGGGAGACTTTCGTCCAACGGACAATTAAATGACTGACGATGTTCATTAGTACTTTCAGCATCAGATTAGTACTTATGATTCCAAAAATAAAAATGTTCGAGCGAAGAAAATCCTCATTGGTCAAAATTGGTTTAATTAGTCTGGCTTAATTTATCATTTGCCAGTGCAACACGAAAAAGAAGTTCGCGGACCAAATAATTACAGTTGCCCAGAATGACTGGCCCAATACGGATGAAACTTTTCAGGCTTGTGGAGCTCTGTGAGTGCACGTGCATGGTCTGCGCCTGCAAGCCCATCCAAAACACGTACTACCATATCTCCGCAAGTACCGGGTCGAGACGGATGAAATGTTACAGAATTTTAAGATATTGCACAAGTAGGAAGCAAGCCGAGTTTGGAATGCATGGTAGCGAACGTGAGCTACGAAAATGGAAGTTATTTTCGTAACGGTACTCTCTAGAATTCTCTCTAGAATGTACTACTGCTCCCACTATATCGTGCCTCGTCATCTCGTCGCACTTTCCACGGTTTCGGGGAAGCCAAAAATCCACAGAACAGGAAGCCCTACTAAACCGACATTACCGATGGTATCGGTTTAAGAAGTATAAGGTTAGAACTATGAGGTGACTAAGAGGTGATTTAAACGAAAGTCTTACTTGCCCGGATTCTAAGATGCACTAGCACAGCCTTCCATCCTAAAGGGTAAAACCGATCTTCCAGATCTCACAGATAAGCAGTGCGGGAATGAAACGGACCGCCACTGAAATGTCGTCTATCGTCACGTCGCGTACAGACCTTCGGTTCCTGTCTCTAGCAGAGGCGAGAGTCGAGCCTCGATGCACGGAAATGGAAGAAAAGACCCGGCGGGAGAGAGGAAGAAACCACCATAGGAGTGAATTCATTACAAACGCCGGAAGGCAAGAGACTCCTCTGCCTCGACTACCAATGAAGGGGAAAGTCGAGGCCTTCTCCACCCCTGACCGACTCTCGGAGCATTAACAGCCTCCGTACGAAAGCAAGTAGCCAAGGTCAGCCTCAAATCGAAGTGGACGACCACTTCTTTTTTTTTTTCCTAATGAGCCAGAACATGACTTTAGTTGTAAAGCAGAGGAGTTCGTTACACACGTGTAACGAACGCCACCCAGTCATTCCGACGATGACTGGTACAAATTGCTCGAGAAGAGATACCGCGTCACGAAGCAGACGTGCTAATTCTCGGACTCAAAAGAAAGCTTCGTGGAGGAGTCCTTTTGAAATGGACCTTTAGCGAAGAGAGGCGATGGACGACCTGGTGGAACCTGCTCTCTCTCCTCTGAGTTCCGTTGGTATTGCTCACAGGGTAAATAGTAGACTGTCAGATGGGTAAAGGAAGTGAGAAAGACTGGCTGGTAAGAGACGCTTTACCCTCCTAGTCCTAGACTATGCATGGCATTAGATCGTCTTGTCTTCCCTCAGCCTCGAACAAAGTTTATTTTTTATCGAGGAAAAACCTGGGCGTACTTCCTCGTGTGTTCCGTCTTCGTCACTTGCATCCGTTTACCTTGTCCTTCGCTCATCCCTTTGCCCCTCTCCCTACCCATCCCTTTACAATTTACCATTTGCCCTTTGTCCACTCCCGCTTTCATCACGTTTTGAATTGCTCCATCTCGTCTACAATTTACAAAAGGTGCGACTTTTTTTCTGCCCTCGTTGGATTCCAAGATGTGACCTTGATGTTTATCCATTGCCGTTTACTTTAGACACACATGCACTCCCTCTTCTATGCAATGGATCGCACAGCTTCGCTGTCGTTAGAACTCACGTTTCATTCATTCCAATCCTCTGTCAAACACTTAAAAAAAATACTTTAAAATATGAAAATTTCGAAGGCTATGTCATTATTGCTTGAGCTCAAGTAAAACCCCGTCAGAAAGTCAAAATAACACAGTGGTGGACTCGGTATTGCAGGGGAAACTTGAAGACTAATCCAGAGCTCTCAAATTGACAACATGATGAAGACTTTCCGGGCGCTTTTAAATGCAATAATACCTCGCATTACGCTCGGGGTGTATAGCACTATTATTATGGGAAAACTTGTTTCGCAACACGTTGATTCGCAATACGCTGGGTTTTTCAGGAACGCATCCCGAGCGTTTTGCGAGGTATTACTGTACGTAGTAGGTTCAAAAAGTTTCCGAACTGGGAGGACTGTGCCCAAACTAGGCAGCCCAAATCATATCGCCGGAAGAGATTTAGAGTTTCATGTCTACTTCATGCGATTCCTGCATGTGAAGTCTCTGGAACGCACCTGAAGGCTGCTAGAGCCCACTACGTCCAAAGTATTGGGGGTCGTTTGTCGCTCTGATGTCTGGCAGCGAACATATCACAATTCGAGAACCTTGCGAATATCCAAAAATTAAGGAAAACTCCTTCAGAGAGCCTCACTCTATCGAAGGAAGCGTACGGGAACGATGCGACGTCGAGGACCCAGGTGTTCGAATGGTTTCCACGTTTCGAGGAGGCGCGGGATTTTCTTTAAGACGCACCTGCTCACTGGTCGCCGATGGTGACGCAGTTCTCGTTATCTAATAAACGTGAGAACGACGCCTTGCCACATCCGCCTCACTCGCCTGATCTCACTCGGTGCGATTTCTATCTGTTCCCGCGGAAGAAGAGTCTTCTGAAGGGGAAAAGTTTTTCCAGCGCCGATGAGGTGATCAAAGCTGCGACGGCCGCGCTCAAGAAAATTGTAACAAATGGGTTCGCCCTCTGTTTCGATTAACTGTACAGACGCTGACAAAAGCGTATGATTAGCCAGGGTGACAACTTTGAAGGAAACTCAAACTAAATTGTTCCAATTGACCAGTGGTGCGAACCAGACCCAGTCTGGAAACTTTTTGAACCTACTACGTATATCAGGGATGAGAAATCGTTGCTGGGTACACCGGGACATTCCACCATTTCGATTTCCATTCCACCACTTGCATAAATACGTTCGGTACGAGCCCGATATGTTGCTTTCGTCCTCGAGCACAAGTTATCGTGCATCAGTCGGTTTCCACTCGTTCCTCTCGGCTTTTCGTCGTTGCAAACTATTTTTACCTGCGTCAGAACGGGTCTTTTCCACCATTCAATTTGCATTGGGGAGTACCAGCGCATTTTTGTACGGGATGAAAATATCTATGAGCGGTGCGAATGGTAAGGAAGATTGCAACTTCCGTGTTTAGAGTGTAGAAGGTCACCGTCTATCTTTAAGGGCTTCACTTCCTTCCCTCCATCCTTCATGGTATCATTTGACATCCGTCTCTCCTTTCTCCCTTGCGGCGTTGCCTTGCAGCTACATTCCTTCTACGAATCCACTTCTTTCCGCCTCGCGATATGAATCGGATTTTCCTCTCTAATGAGCCGTGATCGGTAAATCTCGACGAATATCGATCTATTGGTTTTTTCTTCCGTGGAGAGGCATCATTTCCAACTTGAGGGTTGAAAGTTTGACGATTTGGTCCTTCAATCTACTTATAGGCTTTCTCGGAACGATTTTCTGAGGAGGTTGAGGGCGTCAGCTCATGTTGCCAACGGACGGGGAATCTAGGAACTAGTCTCACGCATCGGGCGAGAGAGGGGTGCCTCTGTTCTATAATTACACAATGACGTCACACAGACTCAACACGGTCTCCAAACAGTGGCGCCTGCTCTTATATACGGTAAAGGTTAAGGAGTCAGAGGAGACGATGTGGATAAATGGCGTGCCTTGGAATGAGAACAACGCGTCATTTTTCATTCTCACAGGCTCTGCTTCCGTTTTCTGTTCTCCCTCGCCCCCTTCAGTCCTTTGAAATCCTTTGAGATCCATGATATTAGAACGTATTCAAGAAAGGAAAATGAGCGCACAAAAAGAGCGGAGTTTATAATGTCACGGGTGAAGGCAACCCAGTCCGCGCAAATGACAAGTAAATAACTGTCGATATCGACTCGATGCTGCAAATGAGAGGATTCAATGTTGCCGGGGCATTGAATTCTTCCTGTTTTCCAGTTGAGTGCTCAATGTCTTGTCAAAATAACAGGAACGTGATGTCAGACGAGCCATCTGGAAGTTGTTCGGACAAGTAAGGTTCCTACAACCGAAGTGAGGTGGCACCTAAAGCGCCGATAGGACGAATTACCCCTTTATGCGACAGGAATGAGTCACCAGTTCTTTTCACACGGTTCCGTTTTCTCCCCACGGATGACACACCAGAAAATATTGAACATTCTGAATACCCTTCTGGAAACATGTTACTCAGCTCGACGAGACTTTGAGTAATCATGACCCTGCGGATGGAGAGAAAGGAGATTTAAATCTAGGGGGTGGACTCCATGCTAACTGCATTTCATTCTTCTGGTCTTTCTTCTTTTTTTTCAGGTTATTGACGATCGATGGTTGATTGATGATCAACTCTATCCCTGAAAGGGCAAATGAACTGGCTTCTGATGGTAAGAGGAAACCCGAGAGCTATAACGATTGATCGACTGACGTGATAATGTCAATCATCGATGATGAATGACTATCGATGGAATGAGAGCAAGGCCTTGTCATTTGTATTATTCTTTTCTACCATTTCCGGCATTTATATATATATATTGTAGCTTCTACTCATTTTTCAGGAAAAAATTTAAATACTTCGAATGCAAACTGTGATTAAATCATGTACCATTCTCGTTGAACCTGTAGATGTCATAGATGTCGGTGTCCCGGACAGTTTGGCTTTAGTGATATATTTAACCAAACGATTCCTGCAATTAGAAGGTGCAAAAACAACTCTGAAAATGGGACACGGGACAGTGTGCAAGTTATCACTGCTCACTCTTCCCTGTCCTCCATTTCATCTGTTCCATCCCACCCCCACCCCCATATACAGGGTGTCCCACTTATCGCGGACGACTTTAATCACGTATAAAATTCTTCCTACTTGAGCAAACTAAACAAAATTTTCACAATATTTAGATGTCTGTATAGCATTTATTGTGACAAAGTTTCAGCCAAAACAAATTCACCGGTTACAAGCTATGAACTTCAACATGACCCCCGTCGATTTCAAGCACTTTTTCCAATCGTGCCTGGTATTCAAGCAGCGTTTTCTGACGCATTTCAACTGCAATGTCTCCAAACGCAGCGGTAATACGTTCCTTCAGTTCGGGAATGTCCCTCGGTTTGGACTTGACAAAGCCCCACATGAAGAAGTCGCACGGCGTAAAGTCAGGAGATTAGGCCGGTCATTGCATTGTTGGTAATCCACGACCCATCCATCGATCCGGAAACTTTTCATTCAGCCAGGCACGAACTTCTTTACCGAAAAGAGGCGGGACACCATCCTTAATGCCAAAGAAAAATTCTGGCCAAAAATTGAATCACAAAGATTGGCTGATGATCTGGTCTTCATGCAGGATTGTGCCCCACCTCTTTTCGGTAAAGAAGTTCGTGCGTGGCTGAATGAAAAGTTTCCGGATCGATGGATGGGTCGTGGATTACCAACAATGCAATGAGCGGCCTAATCTCCTGACTTTACGCCGTGCGACTTCTTCATGTGGGGCTTTGTCAAGTCCAAACCGAGGGACATTCCCGAACTGAAGGAACGTATCACCGCTGCGTTCGGAGACATTACAGTTGAAATGCGTCAGAAAACGCTTCTTGAATACCAGGCACGATTGGAAAAAGTGCTTGAAATCGACGGGGGCCATGTTGAAGTTCATAGCTTGTAATTGGTGAATTTATTTTGGCTGAAACTTTGTCACAATAAATGCTAAAGAGACATTAAATATTGTGAACATTTTGTTTAGTTTGCTCAAGTAGGAAGAATTTTATACGCGATTAAAATCGTCCGCGATAAATGGGACACCCTGTATATTCTATGAAGCCATCCCTCAAAACCCTCACAACGTGAAACCAGGGGAAGCAATGAGGCAGCGACTCATTTCCCCACCACACCATTGGCGTATCACTGGGACTGAAACATTTTGAGAAGACTCAAAGGCATTTTATCTCATACCAGTCACATAACGTTTTAAAAATGAAAATAAGTGCATGAATATAATGTCAGAGCTCGGGGAAAGAAGGCCATATTTCCTTTCAAGTGGAAGTGTCCGATATATCAGTACTCTTCGTGACTGTGCTGTCACTCCTGTCAGTCGTCTTTGGACAAGATTCCGGGATTTCACTGTTGTCAAACGCGGAATTGAAATAGTTCATTTCAGTGTTAGGGATTTTGGCATCGGGTGTGGACGATGGAATCGATTGTTGATTGCTTCCTCTTGATCCCGAATTACTCCCAGGTGAAGTACTCATACTGTCATGTCGAGAAAACCATTTATGAACTTTTCTCTTCAGGTATCTGATCGTTTTTTTCTTGCAAACGAAGATGAGGAAGATGAAGAATCCTTGTAGGATGTTGATGATATCTGTGAACATGAAAACCACTGCGGGCTCCTTGATGAAGTAGCTTATCACTTCCGTCACCCAACTTAGCCCCATCACCCCAAACAACTTTATGTACACCAAGAACCTGCACAGAGGAATAAATTTTCCTTTACCTCAGTATTCCTCTAAGAAAATTACTTTTTACTCGCCCATCGAGCAGTATAATATGAGCATGATGCAACTTACTTCTGTTTTTGAGTCTGGCATCGGCTCCGGTGCAGCTGAGCCGTATCTCTGGCATGCTGCATCAAGTAACGACTTGTGAGTATGAAGAAAATGGCATTAGCGACCAGGAGCAAAGCGATTGGTCCATAAAAGTATAAAACGATCCCAGCATCATCTGAATCGGGAAAGAAACGACACGGAGTTGGTGGCATTGCCCTCTTCAGGATTCCACTCATAATGCAATGACTCGAGTTGAATTCACAGAAAGTATCCTGAATCGAGCATCATATCGTAATACAGGGTGCATTTGGCTCTGCTCGAGCCATACAACATTACCATGGAGCCAGCATCGTATTTGCGGGTTGATTCCCGGCTTGATGATGCTAGTGGGAATATTTGGTGCGTGTTCCACGATGCACGCTATCGCAACGATGCACATCGGCACTCCGAATGCATACAGGCTGTAACGGATGAGTACCTTCTTCTCGTGCCCTTGATCGTGGATGCGTTCCCTCAGTTCACTGCATTCATCATGAAAAAGAGAATCATCAAGAATCAAAGACAGGAATCAGTGTGATTTGATATGATGTTGGTAATAATGGGCTGAGTCATCATCACCATCACCAATTATTAAATTGTACATACAAGTTTGAATATTCGTTGAGATCATGCTTATCATATCTCACCTGAGGCTATACCAGATGTCGAAGCTGATGATATTGAGCCAGAAAAATGTGGAGAGATAGAAGTAGAAGATCGTGAAAACTGCAAGAGTGGAGGAGATAATACCCTCACTTGGAATTCCCATTTAAGTGAATGTCTTATAAATTGAGACGAATTGGATATATACTGGCCTGGTCATCCGTATTTTAATATACTCGCTGATTATTAGATTTGCGCCGATTTGAAGCTTCTGAATCAGCATCAAATATGGCGATAAGATTTTGCAATTGTGTTAATAATAACACCTTCAACTTCGTGTAGTCTGTTTCGACATGGCATATCAATCGCTCCAAAATCCTCTCATGCAGAAATACCACGTATTTTCCGAAATGTAGGAATCCGGTATTATTTCCTTCGAGTTTTATTCCGGAGAATCTCATTCAGGTATTTGCATTAAAATAGGAAAGATATGGAAACGGGAAGCGATCCTTGGTGAATTCCTCTCCTTCGTCGTTAGAAAAATGTACAACTCCATTTACTTCAATTGACGTTTAATTTGAATGATATCGAATTGGAAGGTTGCCCCATGCACCCCGAGCGCTGATTTTTCTGATGAAATTGTTACAACAGTTCGTGATACTTTGCAACTGGACAAGGGAGGTGTTCCACTAAAGTCCCCGTTCTTCACATTTTAATTCTTCACATCTGTCACTCCAAATAATTTCCCTGATATCTTATTGGTGGGACAGCTCTGTCCTCCTTACGATTTATCTGCATATTTGATAGCACTCGTTATCATGGCAGATGTTGCAACTACAGACGTCAAGGTTTCATGCCTAACCTAAAGAGGAAGAATTTTAAGTGACGTTCTCTGCTCCTTTCAGTCCTTCTTGGGTATTGCCGTCGAGCAGATCAATTTCCCTCTCTTAGACTATAATGCAAATTAGAAGAGGGGGAGGGGGTGAGAATGAGGATTGCAACCTAACATAAAACCTACTGATAACATATTACCCCAGGCAATCAGGTTTTCCTCTTCAGGATAGATTTTCGAACAGAGCATTATGGGATACCTACATTTCCAATTTAGGCAGTTGAAAACTGCGCTCTGCACTTTCTACAAGGTAGGTAAGGTATCAATAGAAGCAAGCGTGCCGAAAGAAAGGTTAAAATTCAAGGAGAAACACTTTTTTTCGCTCTGAAATAAAAAAATTTAGATAATCCTGCAGGTCATGGTGGTAAAGAAACCAAAGAAAGTCAACCGAAAGTCGATTTCAAGTTATCTGAAAGGTCGCGGTGAATGGATTCGGATGTGACTAGAAGAAACCCCATTTTAGGATTGAAAAAAGTGCGATGTATTCGAATCGATTGCTACCATGAGTTCTGGGAGTAGGACTTTCCAGGACGAGTTCAGTGGGACAGTCTATGCAAAAATATGGTCCCGAGTCCGAAAATTCCACGGCAGCGTCATATTTTGCGCATTGAGTGCAATTCAAGATATATAGACAGCTACATCATTGTTCCTCACGTCTGCGGCGAGAAAATTATTAAGGTAATAATTTATCTATGTCTACTGACATAGCAATCAAGGGTCATATTTGTGACACCGTCGTTGATTACTTAAGATATCTCTTACTTTAGCACATTTTTCCTGTTATTTCGTATTTCATTATACCGTGACTCCTACTTCATGAAGTAATGAATGCAAATTATAAACTAGAAATTGCAGAATTCAGACATTAGCAAATTACCTGCAGGGCGAAGAGGTATTGAGGATTATTGGTGTCAATATCTTCATGCTTTTATGCCATACTGCGAATTGGCTAATGAATCTGTAATGGTCTGGAAACCATTACAAGGTTTACAAGGATGATGGAAACCAAAAAAATCATGAGTGAACAAAGCAAGAAGGTTGAATAAAATTGCAAAATACGGCATACAATTTTGGGCTTTTGTTGAAACCTTCAGTAAGCTCCATTTAAATCACCGAAAATTTTTCCGAAATTCTCAGCAGATTTACTGTCATTCGTCACTTAATTTTGCTAAAGACATGTCCCTTAGGCAAACTTAGTGTCACAGGACACAAAAGTTTTCAGTACTTGATTAATCTTTTTACAGTATTGTGCTTCAAGTATTCATCGTCTTTATCAGTAGGTTGTTACCAATAGAACTACAGAAGTTTTCTTGATTACCAAGGTGATGTATGTTGCCAAAGAAACGTGCCCGAATCCATAAGAAGTAGAAATCCTATGAGTTTTTTGAAGCATAAAAATCTTTAGCATGCTATTGGATTCTTATACAATCTAGTAAGATTCTTTTATGAATCCTATACGATTTAAGGAGATTCATTTCTTTAAACCTCTTAAGATTCATATAGGATTATTATTATTATTTGGGAAAGTAAAGGAAACATCGCGAAAAATTTGGCCTATGGCCAAAAATATCATGGCATTATATGGAGCCAATAAATGCCGTACTCTCCTGATTCAATTAAAATCAGATCGGAGCGACTGATATTCTCGAGACCAGAATTGAATGACGGTCATAGCGTGAAATCGGCCCACGAAATGAGAAATTCTCAAGGGTACCAGTCCAGTTATGTTTTTGTGTCCAAGATACCGGCAATGAGGCAGAGAGAATCGGGGATGTCTTTTTCGGTGCCAAACCGGGCGATGGAGAGGGCGATGCTGGCCACCAGAAGGCAGCCCACGTAGCATAATATTGTCTTCCCATGGAGGCTTTTCCGTTCCGGTAAAATCAGATGAAGGAGAAATGTGATAAACAGGAACACGGTCGACACGACGAGAAGTGCGGAGTAAATTTTATAAACGAGTTCCTTTCCAGGAGAGGCTTCAGGGTAGCAGATAACTGCAACAGGCTCAAAAGTCTCGTTGCTAGTCATCATATCATCGATGCAATATCCAGGGACATGGAAGGCCTTGTATTTCTCCACCATCAACACTCCAGTACTTGTCACATAGAATGTATCATTCGTGGTTGGCCTTAATAGAATTCCTCCTTCCGTCATTCCGGGACATATGGGGAAATTCGTGATCACGTGGACTTCTGCAGGAGGATGAGGATGGAAATGTTTCTTAGAATCCCAGAGCCTATCAGCTGGGCCGCATGGATGAGTTGCCTCTTTGGATGCATTTAAGATATCCGTCTCGACACAGCATTTTTGAACACACACCTTTCCCTTGCATTCCTTGAGGATCTTCTCTTTACGGTCGCAGATGCGAGCTAGGTCGATCCAAGATCCATTCTCGAGACGACCGTGATCGAGGCAGAACTCTTCAGGAGAATATGTGACTTTTGAGGCTGGGAGGTAGAGGTGTCCCGTGTCATATAACACATTGTACGTCTCCCGAGGATCTTTCTTTGGAAGCAGCATGTCTTTGGTACAAGAGATGGAAGATAGATCGTCGATTTTGATTTGAAATTGATCTGAAGACAGATTCCGAATCTCCATTGTCTCTGGATTTAATACCGGGAGCGACCAGGAGAAGGGACGGGGGACGCACTTTTGCTGGTGCAGATCATAGCCCTCTTCCAAAGGACAGCATTTGCGGATGATGATGTTTATCCCTTCTTGGCTTTGGACAGGAGTAGGATCAATATCAGGCTGAGCGTGGCAGAGAAGAAACGCCTTGACGAAGGTTGCGTTCCCCTCCAGGAATTCATCATGGCAATGAGGAGTGTTAGCTAGGAGGCTAGGGTCAGGTTGGTCTAGGACTAGTTTGACCTCCGCTTCGCAGTCTGGCAAGAGGGGAGGTCCAATTGTCTCATTGGTGGTGCGAACATGACACTTGGTCACACCTGTCTCTCGATCGTAAACTCCATACTGGTCCTGACCTGGGCAACACTTCTGCGATTCACTTCTCACCCAATTTCCGGGTAATGTCACAAGGAAGTGGAAGACGACACGTAACACATAGTACTTGAAAATCACCATCATCATCCCTCTGTTTGTGGAGAGTTACTTAAATGTCGATTGTAGTGAAATCATCGTGAAAGTTCTACCCGAAAATGCAGTCACATAGCATCAGGAACACGTATCGTTGCGTTTCATTTCCTTGGGTAGAAAACAAGGTATTACCTCGTACTTGGCATTGCACTAGGGAGGATGGATACCCGAAACGTCGAAAGTATCTCAGCTTGACCAGGAAACTCTTTGCTCCGAATCACGTCGGATAAAAATATTTTTTCCATCCAATCACATAGTATGAAATCACGCAGTGTCGAAAACACGTATGAGAAGTCAACGTGCGTCTTATTCTTCTGTTTTTCACGAAATGTGCCAATCGAACTGAAGAATGACGTAACTTTGGGTCTCTCTTCGTCTCGTCTAGAAATAGGGAAAACTGGCAAAAAGAAAGAACATGATCAGAACATCTCATTAAGTTCATCCACCCGGGCATTATTAAAACGCTCCTTTTGAAATTTTGAATCCGTATTTGAGAAAGTATCAATTTGTTCCTTGTCTGTGAGCCTTCGTCTGGGTGCACGTCTAACAAGACACCAGACAGTGGGACGCGTCGTACTGTGCTCGTTTCCATTTATTATGTACTTGTTCTATGGAATTGACTCCTGGCTGGGCCACGGCGGATTGATCCGTACGCCTCCAGAAATATAGGAAAGTTTCCTGCCCGCCTTCCTTATCAGTTCCTGCTATTTTGGGGGATATTTGTGACGTACGCACCCATCTCATGCAGAAGCAGAGGTATCATTCAAGCATAACCTGCGAGTCTATCAACGAATCTCAGTCGTGCTGCTGCTGCGGTAAACTTACAAATGGTAGTACTGCCTATACCAGGGTATGCTAAAGATTTCCCCACTCATGCTGAATGAAAGAGGGGTGGGGAATGCCCCCTGATATACCCAACTTTTTATTTAGCCAAATGCATTCCAATTCTTTGCCTCAAAAACTCATTTCAACTCGGTTTGAATGGGAAATTTCCCATTCAAATTCCCATTTGGGAAATTTCCCATTCCATGAAATTTCCTGAGCTTGTAGGGGCTATTGAAAAACCATACCATGCCAAATTGCAGCACTCTACATCAAGTACTTTCAAAGGTAGCAATTTGAAGGTAGCAAAAAGTGACAAATTTTGGTTCATGTCATCATCGCTTAAGTGCTCATAAGTTTTGTTCTAATCAACATAGAAAGCCCTATAATTTAAAACATTTTAATTATTGCAGAAGAGGAGAACAATCGCCTATCCCTTTTCTCTCCGTTTCCGCTGTGGTCACTGCTTCGCATGGGTAGCTGACCCAAGGGGTCTGCTACTCATGGGTTACTCCCCAGTCAGCAATTAATCCCGTGACCAAGTATGGCTTATCTCCGCACAGTCAGCTGTTCCAAGCTTAGCCCGCACCATGAGCCCACACATGCACACATGGCACACGGGTGGCATATGCATAATGCGTACCCTAAATGTCCACGTTACCTGCGGCACCTCGTCTAGTACATCTGTAGGCCAAGTGTGGCTTATGTGTACGGTACATCCGCGACAAGCAGAGCCAAGACTGCGTGTCTATGTGGAAGCGTGGCACCAACTTGGTGTATGTACTGTATGTTCCTCTCCATATAGGGTAAGTGCTGCGAATGTTGGCACTGGGGGTAATCTCAGCACTTTGCGATCGTCAATATTCTGCTTCCCCTACCAATCCCCTAGGCACGGATAGATAAGGATTCTTAAGTGGTGGGACTAAGATTGTTAACATGTACTTGGGACAGTCATGTTCGCAGTTTTAGTTTTCTCGTAGTGGCTGCCTTCTCTAAGCGCACTCCGAATATCCTGCAAAATCTTGTGATTTTGCTAAGCTTTCTCCTCCTAAGCTTTCTCCTAACGTTAAGGATTTTTATACTTCAGTGAAGGGGTCTTTATCAAGAATAAGTGCTTGTTTATGACCTGGGTTCCATGAGTCTGTCTCGAATATGGGGATAACAAATGACGAAGTGCCAGCGTTTATTAATTTTTATGAGACTCGACGAGACATATGACGAGGTACTACGTCATTCCTGTGAGAGACGATTCCAAGGAAAGAGGGAAGGGCACTTTTGCCTACTGCGCAAAAGCGAGACCCACACCTCCATCTAGTGGCATGGAGGAGAACTTCAACATTTCCCAACAATTTCCAAATGCAACTTGAGCACATTGGGTCACCGCTTTGTTTCGATATTAGATCGATGATGGAATGGCAATATTGGGAAGAAATTGCTTTGTCAATATTTAGCCGATATTGGCGAAGATTTGTTATAATTATATCAAAATGATACTCATCAAACTTCAAAGCATTTGCAGAAGTTTTCACTCACCTTCAGTAGGAATGCACTTGTGCGTGAAACTTTCATGTCCGCCAAGCGTGGGCGTAGTGTGCAAAACCTTCCTGAGCCACAGAACGACACAGCTACCGCAGGTACGCCAATATATGGCCTCACTCTGCTGACTGGGTCTTTGGATAGGAAACGGAATTGGGCATTCTGCCTTTACAACCTTTTACTACCTTAGTTTACGAATTCACAACCTTAAAGCCTTTAAAACCCTTACTTTAAAGGCCCCGTAAAACTGATATTTTTTCGCGAAACGAGCAGTACGTGATGTCAACATATCTATCGAATATCCTCTATATCATCCGGTATGTACGTGTTTTCAACGCTAGTTGATTACATTGCAACATGATTGGAAAAATGCAATCCCATTCAGTAAGACGCACAAAGGTTTCCAATGGAAATGAATCAATTCCTTTAAGAGCTCATAATGCTCCATGAAAACAGGTATCTCGATAGGCAAATTCAGTCTTTCTTCCATAGACCGCTTTTCATTGGGTTTGATGAGGCTTAAAGAATGAGAATTAAATGGAATTCGAAAAAAATGTTGAACATGAAGATAATGATCTAAAACCCAAGAAAAAAAAAGCAGAAAAAGCGCTTCAGAGAAGTAGCATTTCTATAATTAAAAAAAACGCGTGCATAATCGACAAATTAGCATAAGATTCCAACTTCCAGACCGCCTGGCAATTAGCACAAGATTCCAGACCGCCTGGCAACTTTGCGCAGTTGATGCTTTCTCCTTTTTATGCCCTGTCTGGGAAGGATCATTAGGTAGGGTAAGGTGGGGCTATTCGGTCACGATTTTTCGTTTTTCTTACTCCACAATCAGGGAATTAATTATACAGAAAAACCTTTGAATCCTCAATCGGTCATGTCATTTAGCTACATATTCCACATGAAAACAAAATCCGTAAATGTGATATTTTAGCTTACAGAATAAAGAAATTAACATGTGGTCGGCCTGACTGAATAGCCCCAACCCTGGGGCTATTCAGTCATTTCTATTTCGTGTCAGTGTTTGCTTTACTGCTCGATTCCAGGGGCTAACAGGAAAAAAAAAAATTCTCAAAGCATGGAAAGGCCTTTCGGGACCGAAAGCCCCCCCCCCCCCTCCCTATAATTTTCCAAATTGGAACTGATTTAAATGAAACAGCAAAACCTCGATTTTAGGCACACACAATATGAAACATTTGAAATGACTGCCCTGGCGTCCTCCCTCGATCCTCACCAACATGAAAGTGTCCTTGACCAGGTCCACGTGAGGCAGATCCATCTCCACTTTAAGAGGCTTGATCATGTCCTTAACTTAGTATGGTATTAGTCTGACCGATTAGCCCCTCCGCCCGATTAGCCCCACCTTACCTTACACGTATCTAATGATCCTGGTGAGGGTTGCCAGACGTCCTGTTCCTTACTAGGACACACAGACTTCAGTGCGTCACCCAGGAATGAGATCGTCCCGATTTATGGCTTATTGATTTTTGTATTTTTTCGTTGATGTGGTATCGCAACATTTATTTGCACCTTTTCGAGCTTATTATACAGGTATTGGGTGACATGCACTAATTGAGGAATCGGATTAGTTTAAAGACGAGATGAACACGTTAGCTAAAACTCGTTTAAGAATATGTTTATCTTTGAAATGCACCGCCGAAAATCAGATTAATTTCCATGAACACGTTTATCCACGATTTAACCCACACGCTTGAAAGCAGCGTGGATGCGCTTGGAAAGAGAATGATGAGTATAGTGCCAGCTGCTGCTTCATTGTCCGCACCAAGTCGGCGACGGTGTCCGCGGAAAGACGAAACCTTCTTCGGAATTCGTCTCAATTGAACCATTGAAGTGGATTGGGCCGATCTCTGATAGTCCTCCCGGCAGTTTGGTTCAGGATCATGTCAAAAACTTGTAGTTCATCATTAGTTTCCTTTTCCACCCTCGCTAGATGATGAGAGGCAAGAAAAATGAGGTCCACTCTGGCAAAACAGCATCCTGAACTGCTTCTGAGAATCCGTTTAGGGGAGTTTAAACTGTTATGGAACAGGTTTATCTCAGAAGATCAGTTTAAGAGAGAAATAAACCAATTTCATTTGGTGCATGTCACCCATTATGACTGTCGCCTTCTCAGGCTTTGAAAACCTGCTTCGTCAGTCATGGACGTGTACAAGTTCCTTTTTAAGAACCTCGCCACCCACTCTCCGGGTTTCATTCCAATAAGACAATCAAGCGATTAGAAATGATAATTCGGTTGCAGTGTGGTCCAAGTCGAAGTGTGGTCTATTTCAGGTCTCAGTTCACAGTTGGGATGCAGTGGACTGAATCTACGACTATCCTGTGAAGGGACCGGAAGTAAGAAATCTATTCAAAGTTTTACAGTTGGATTACAGTCAGACTAACCCACCCTGTTTGTCGATCCCACCTTTGCTTACGCGCCTCATGATTCGATTGCACCCGAACGACTTTCCGAGATCCGTATATGATGTTTCAGCTGTTCACTTCGTCCTTGACCAATTAAATTGTGTACAACTACATAGTGAACGAGATCACGCTGCCTAGGAACTGAGTCAGCCATACAGGCCCGCATCATAGCAACTTGCAGCAAAGAAAGAATAAAATTGAAG